GCTGATGCGGCCATCAGTGAAATTGAATTTGCCACCCCTGGAATCACCCTAAAGTTACTTTTTGGGCTTCAACTTAACAGAAAAACAGAGTCGGAAGGGATCTTGGAGGTATTCTAGTCCAACCCTCTGCTCAAGCAGAAGAGTCTATATCCTTTTAGACAAATGGCTGTCCATTCTCTTCTTAAAAGCCTCCATATTGGAGCATCCATCACTTCTGAAGGCAAGCTATTCCACTGGTTGGTTGTTTTTATTGTCAGAAAGTTTATCCTTAGTTCTGTTGCTTCTCTCTTTGTTCAGTTTTCAATCATTGCTTCTTGTCTTGCCTTTTGGTGTTTTGGAAAATAGGCTGACCCCACTTTTCTTTCTGGCAGTCCTTCACACTACTGTCATGTCATTCCTAGTTCTTTTGACCAAATTGGACATACACAATTCCTGCAACTGTTTTTCGTAACTTTTAGCCTTCAACTTCCCTCCCACCAATTATCTTCACTGAATTTCTCTGCACTCTTTCAAGACTTTCAACATATTTTTTATATTGGGGTGACTAAAATTGGATGCAGTATTCTAAGTATGGTCTTACCAAGACATTTTAAAGTAGTAGTATCACTTCTTGTGATCTTGATTCTGTCTCTTTGTTAATGCAGCCTAGGACTGTATTGGGCTTTGGCAGCTGCAGCACACTGCTGGCTCATATTTAAGTGATTGTCCATTAGGATTCCAAGAACCCTCTTGCAGTTATTGCTGTTGAGCAAACTTTTACCTAATCTTTATCTGTAATATTTTGTACCTGTATCTCTGTAACAAAAATCCCAAGGTAACTCTTCTTACGTAATGACAATTATTTCCTACCTTCTATAGTTCTAAGCTGTTAAGTTTGTTGACTCATGCAAATAATGCCACTTCTTTTGTATTAATTTTACCTGCTGCTTCTACTTAGAATCTCTGTGAAGAGAGCATTTTTCCATGGAGTATGTATATACCACAAGTTTACTGTTTCATTGAACATAGCCTGTAGCAACTGTGAATCTTTACACAGTTACTCAGATGCTTACATTTGTAAATCACCTACCTTTGCCCAAAAAAGTTTGCAGATGAATTACTCATATTAGGATCAGTCTCTAGTAAAAGTAGGTGTTCTCTGCTTGGAAGTTCACACGTTCACAAAAAGAAATTGCAGTAATCAATTTGAAATCCTTTTTATTACCTTAAAAAGTCCTTTGAAATTTTACCCGATTAAAAACATTGTTTTTTTTTAAAAAAAAACCAAATAAAAATATTTCTTCAGTGTTAGTTTTATTATTTGTGTGATTTATTAGACTGCTTCTAATCATTTACTCTTAACCATTGGAATCAAGTACTTCAAATGATCAAATGTAACATTTGCATTACTGCTTTAATGCTTGGGTTTCTTTTAGTTATAGGCAAGAATATTAAATAAGAAAGAACTGTTCTCACGTGAGGATCTTTATTCTTAACAAATATTGTGTCAGTTCAGCCATCTTTGGTTTGGTATCTTACTGGCATCCTTCCATCAAAAGCTAGTGGGGCGGGGTGGGGGGGACATCAAATGGGCTATAAACATGTATGGGGGTGTGATGGGAAATAGGATGACAGCTTGATGAAGACAGCGGCATGGAACCAGTTTGTACCAGTCTTCAAGGCCACTCACCCTTAGAATGGAACATGGATTACCCCAAACATCTCACTGAGCCTCAAAACATCTATGCAGCTCTCCATTAGTTGAAGATGAACTGGTCAAAGTGGGGAGCACTAGGTTGAAAAAGAAAGCTTTGTAACCTTTTGTGCGGAGATCTTAGTTCCAGCCTGACTAAACTACAACCAGCAATCTTTAGGATAAAAACTTATCACTTCACCAAAATGGAGTCGAGGATCTTTCTTTCCTTAGGGGCCTGACTGGGACAGGTCCGACTTATTGATTGTCCAATGCCATTATTGTACCAAGTACCAACGCTTTCACCCTTAAAATAAAATGGAACTAATATTTTCCAAATATTTGGTGAAAGTCAGGTGAAAGGATATTAGTTCTTAATTATATTATTTTACAAAACTAAAGCAAAATAGTTTTGCAGAATAATTGTGAGACCCACAACCTGGAATTGTTTTAAGACTTGGCACATCTATGAAATGCTCATTTGAGAATTCCCTGATTTCTTGCTGCATCCTACATTTTTTTAATCAATATTTTTGTAAATCAATATTGCTGCATCAATATTCTTTTGTAAATCCAGTGTTTATTTTTGTTGGACTCTATAGTTCAATACTCAGGACCATATAGAAAAATATGAAAAACTGAGATATTAAATAGATTAATTTCATTACCTTGAATAAAAAGTATTGTTCCATTTAAAACAATGAGCTATATTTTGGATAGGATTCCCTCCATATACAGTTCCATATTGCAAGCTAACCTTTGAAAAATCCTTTACTGAAGATGTCTTCTAAAAGAAAGAAATTAGGGGTGGAAGAGAGCACCTAATCTGAGTGAGCATCATAATTTATAATATTGTGCAGCTGTGTATTACAAAATTAATATCTACCCTTATAGGGTGAAAAAGAGATGTTTTTTTTTTTAAAAAAAATCCCTATTGTCCTGGAAAGTTGTTATTGTCTGGCACTCTTATATGTGCTCTCTGAAGTATAGGAAATGACAATGTTAAGATCGAAGAGGAGAGAAAGGGGAAAGCCGCTTTCTTCTAAACCCTCCAGGCTCAGGACAGGCCCAATTCTCTTTAAGTTTATAGAACTGCGTTTCAAATGGGAGAAATTAGATGAAGGAGTCAACTGGCGGCAAGAAGTATAAAAAGGATAGTCATTATTCATGAGCCTCAAGTTTTGTTCCCAAGTTTATCCCACATTTCAGTGACTAGTTGAATTGAGTTCTTGATTGATAACTTTGCTGCCAGACACTTGCATTATGGATTTCTTAATTTATTCTATATATACATTATGGGTATATGATTTTCTATTATTACTCACATCTAATGCTTTGCTTTTATCTGATTCTTACCTTTTTAAATAAAAGAATGAGAAAATCAGGAAATCAAGAAACTTTTCTTAAGTCCTAATTTTGGAACATTAAGGCTTCTTGATCTCTGGCCATCTTTCATGTACTTTATTGTGGTGACACAAAATGAAATTACTATTGGCAAATCCACTTTTCTTTTAAAAGGTTGCAAGGTTACATCTAGTTCTGCATGGAGAAAAAAGGAATTGCTACCAAATAATCCCCAGCACTACAACTAAACTACCATGCCAAATATTTTTGGTGTAAGGTAAAAATTAAATCTATATATGTGGATAGGATCAGAGATTCAGGTTAAAAAAAAGGCTAGTCAGTACAGTAGAGAAAGTTTCATTCATTTATGGCAAGAGAAGAACAGCTCATTATGAATCATTATTTTCCCTTGAGGCTTATTGGTTGATATTATATCCTTTTAATAGAAGTAAAGGTTCATTTAATATACAGTCATTAACACATTCTGTTGGCATTTATTTACCTAAGAAGTATAAAGACTTGGATTTTTTAAAAAATTTGATTTCACAATGAAATGTCATTTTCATATAAGCTGTTTCATTATCACATCAAATACGGCACACAAGTCAATTAGAATATAATAATTCTGTGTAGCCTCATAAATGAGACTACTTCCTATATTATGAGTAAATTGTCAGTATACCAAGTTTTTCTTTTTATTAATAACAAAATTAAAAGAAAATCCAACCAGAGAACAAGGTGCATTTTTCCTGTCTCTCTTCTTTTTCTCCTTCTTCCTTTTTCTTTTCTTTGCAGAGTATTTGTAATTGATAAAAGATATTCCAGAAATAATTCCCAAATAATTCTGGGTAACTCAAATATTTCCTATTGGAGACCGTAACAAATTTAATGTGCATTTTTACAGAGTTAGCAAAGGGGTGCATTACCATCAGCAAAGATTCGGGGCAAGTGGAAAGTGGAAAGTGATTGCACAAAATACAAAATGCCACATAACACTGAATGAATGCTTACAACTTACAATGAATGCTTTTGTGAAAGAAAAAAGATGTCAATTTGGTGGTACCACACTGAGATAATATTTAAAACAGGCTTGTAAAATGTTCTAAGGAACATCCATTTGAGGTTGTATCATGCATGAAAGCAGTTTACAGAATGTAAGTTAAAGTTTGCAGATACAGAAGTTGCAAAATTAAAGAAAACCCACCAAAATAGAAAACACACACATATATGTATTTATAGAAAGCTTTAAGTACCCCATAGGGGCTGGTCAGACTAATAATTGCCACCATTAAACAGGAAAGAAAGCAATAGTCATGAGAGGAAGTAATCAACTAAGAAAGCTCAACAAAGTCTCCAATACTTTCTTGCACATGTTCCATCATTATAGATTTCTTGTACTTAATAACTGCATTGGATTTATGACAAGATTTGCCATCCAGGAAAGAAGTTCTTCCAAAGGACAATGATGCTTCCCTCCGCTGAGTAGAGTTGGTATCTGGAAAGCTAGAGAGGCTACGTATTGAGATGTAGTAGGAGGGAAGTTGAGTTCATTATCTTTCTGCTTAGAGTTATCTCTTTCTGGGATAAGAATCACATTCAGTTTGATATCAAAAAATGAATAAATAAATAAAAAATAAAATATAAATAGTAGCTGAAGAATCAAGTGAATTCAGCACTTTCATTTCTTTGAGTCAAGAAAAGAAAAGGTACAGAAAAATGTACATTGTCACATTGAACAATATTTTTACAGTGTACCAATTACCCTTAAAAAGAATAAAGAAAAAAGAAAAAGGAAAAAGAAAAAATGAAAAAGAAAAAGAAAAAAAAAATGGAAAAGAAAAAGAGAAAAAAGGAAAAGGAAAAAAAACTAGATTCAAAAGAAGGGAAGAAACTTGGCATTATTCTCTCTCTCTTTTTAAAAAGGTTTAATATTTTATTTGTTTTGTATGCATTTCCTGAAGAAGGTGCTCCATTATGTAGCGAATTAGAGTACATTGGGTGCAGGGTGGTGGTTAGAAGTTAGGGTCAGTTTTGCTGTCCGCTCCGTAGATTTTACAGGCGATTTGCTCTTTGCTTTAAGAAGAGAAAGTGATATTGGAAAAAGTCAGCACTTTTTAGATCAAAGCAAAGCACCCATCACAAAGCCACAAACAAGAAGCAGGACAGAAAGTCCATGGCTTGTAGCTATCCTCGCACCTGCGGAAGAAGTTATAAGATATTCGCTCATCTTGCAGATTTCCAATACTCCTTTATAAGGCTGTTTAAACATATACATTCATATATTTAATTAGCTCGCCAGCTTGGCTCTTGCGCCCATGACTTTCTTGGCATGCACTGCAAATAACAACACATACAAAGGATTTCAGTTCCACAGAGGTGCTTTGCTTTGTAATTTTTGCTTTGTATGTTTTCCCCTAACAATATAATTTATCATATGGAAAAAGAGCATTATGAACATATTCTCAAATTGTTCTTTATCCCCAAATCCCAATAATAGCTTTGCAAAATGAACTTTATGCCTCAAAGCAAGCTATGAATAGAAGATAATTCAAACCCTCATGGGTCAACATATATGGGCAGCAGGCTGTCTTTAGTTTGGTGGGAGATCAGTTCTGCAATCCAAAATTAAAATGTCTTTTTTAAAAAAAAGAATAGTGTATTGAGATTTTTAAGAGTATGTTTAAAGGTATCTCTGTTCATAAATTTTCATAAGCCTATTGCAGGTTAGGCAAAACCTTTTTTTTAATAGAAGGGATACTTGTTAAGCTTTGAAATCCTGAAGAAAACTGTCCATGACTTGACATAATTTTTTTAAAAAATCTGCATAATAAGATCAGGTAAAGATATTTAGAGAGTATAATATTGGGCAAAATGGTCTAACACGTTAGCTATAAATCGGAGATGGAGAAATTCTTTACAGAACATAGGGATTCAGTGAACTTTCTGAGCTTACTACAGCCTTAGACTACAAAAATAGGCCTGTGTAATGTTGCACATATGTGTATATGAAGTTATGGCAGATTGGTGAGGTAATCTGATCAACTACAGATTAAACAAACATGTCATCAGATATAATAAAAACAATGAGAATACATTCCTAACTCAAAAAGAACCAGGATCCTTCTCTCTCTGAAAGAATGTCTGAGACCTGGTTGTTGAAAAGTATTCCCAAGCTCTAAGGATTGATCTCTATTATTCAGTCATGCACATTTGCAGAAGATTTTTGTGTGCTTTGAATAGAAGATATTCTGAAAGATACAGATATTATATAGAATAATATACCGGAAGTGTATGAAGTGAAATGTTTTGCTTTGCTAAGAAATGGTGGTGATGATGTACAATCTATATTCTATATATCTTCATAGAAATTAATTACATGAACAAAATAGATGGAGACAAAATAAAATAACATGTCCCTTATCTTATTCTTAATACTGTGCATACTCCTAGCACTGTAGGTCCTCTCCATACTCCGAAATACAATCTGCCAAGAGTGCTCACCCAATTTCAGCTGATCTGAAAATATGAATATGTTTCAAGTACTCAGAAGCACTACAAGATCTGTAAAATCAAGTGCAAAGAATGCACAGAACATAGAATCATAGGCTGAAAGGAACCTTAAAGGTCTTCTAGTCCAAAGCAGGGATGGGATTCTACTTGTTCTGTCCACTTCTGTAGAACCAATTGCTCTGAAAAGCAGCAAACAGAGAGCATACATAGAACCGGTTCTACGTCTGCTGCTGTTTTGGCCCACCTGCCCGCCCGGGCCCTTACCTGACCTTTATTTCCTGCATTTTCAACCGCAGATGCTTTGCGCGACACAGCTGTGGTTGAAAAAGCAGGAAAAAAGTGCTTTTTCAACCACTGCGCACTTGCACGCAGTGCTGCTCAACTGTCCAGGCAGCTCAGCAGGTTGTAAATTGCACTCGCGCAACTCGTGCGCATACACATGTGACACAGAGCAACAGAACCGGTAGTTATAACCGGTTGGATCCCATCCCTGGTCCAAAGCCCTGCTCAAGGCAGGAGAACCTTACATCATGCCGGTTAAATGATTGTCTAGTCTATTTTTGAAAACCACCAGTGAAGGAGGAGCTACAACTCTGGGATTATTCCACTGATTAAATGTTCTCATTGTCAGAAAGTTTTTCTTTGCTTCAAGATAGTGCCGCCGATGGCAGCCTTAGATAAATGCTCTCTTGTAATTTTGAAGTTTTCCATTATTTTCTGTGATTCTCTGAGAATTTCATACTCAAAAATTGAACTCTTGAATATCAAACAATAGACTTTAAATAACAAGCATCTATGTGGGACTATTCTCCCTTCTTTTCAAATGCTGAGAAAATTCTGACTGAGAGAACAGCAATTATTTCTTTCGGCCCAGTAGAAACAAAGAAGCAGAAGAACAAAAGAAGGAGGAAGAGAGTCAAGAGAGGAGGCATATTACAAAGGCTTAGGAACATGGGGTAACCAAATCTCCCCCCCTTCTGCATTTAACTAATCTTTGCTAAAATAGAGGAACTGCTACTTTTAAATAGGAATATATTGGTAGGAAGCTACCAAGATACATACAGCATGTCAACTGTCTTACTAGAGGCAAAAATATTTTAGAACACTGCTACACAACATTAAAAGATGCAGAGTTGCTCATTAAAAAATGAGCAACTCTGATTCACCATGTACCTATTTATAAAAAAAAGCTTGTCATCACAAAATCAACAATAAAATCAGTGAAGTCGTGGACTGAGGAGGCAAAGTTAAAGCTAGATGCTTGTCTTGATTGCACAAATTAAAATGTTCTTGAAGCTACCTCTACAGACGTGGATGAACTCACAGATACTGTGACATCATGTTAGATTTTGTGAAGATCTATGTGTGCCAACCAGAAACCTATGAATACATAATAACAATAAACCTTGGTTCACAGCTAAACTCGAACAGCTATATCATGCTAAAGAGGAAACCTACAGCAAAGGAGATAGAATGTACAATCAGGTCAGGAATGTATTAGCATCAAAAAGAAGTTACTCTGAAAAGCTGAGGATTTAGCTATCCACAAATAAACCAGAAAATGTATGGAAAACCCTTAAAAATATCACTGGCTACAGCAAATCTCCTTCTCATGCTGAAGGGAATCGACAACTGGCAGATGACCTGAATGTGTTTTACTGTAGGTTTGAGAGGAAACCTCTGTCAACTATCATCACCATCTCCATCTCAGATACAGCAACAACAGCTAAGTTTCCTACAACTGATTCCATCCTTCTGGGCCCCCCACCATTGGTGATCACATAAAAAGGTGTACGAGGTCTATTTCACAGACAAAAATTTGGAAAAGCACTAGGCCCAGATAAGATTAACTCCTTGCTTGAGAGTTTGTGCTGATCAATTGGCCTCATCTTTAATAAATCAGTAGAGATGTGATGTTCCTTCTTGCTTCAAATGCTCTGCTATCATCCCAGTGCCTAAGAAACTTTCCATTATGGAGCTGAATGACTACAGATCAGTTGCTCTGACATCTGTAATTATGAAAACACTTGAAAGTCTAGTACTGGCTCACCTGAAAACCATCACAGATCTACTGTTGGAACCCTTGCAATTTGCCAATTGATCAAACAGATCGGCAGATAATGCTATTATTATAGCACTGCACTACATCTTACAACAACCTATGCAAGAGTCCTTTTTGTAGACTTCAGCTTGGCATTCAATATCATCATTCCAGATATTCTTGTCACTAAACTCACTCAGTTAACTGTGCCTAACCAGGGGTGGGTTTCTACTGGTTCTGTCCACCTCTGTAGAACCGGTAGCTCTGAAGAGCAGCAGACACAGAACCAGTTCTATGTCTACTGATGTTTTTGCCCACCCGACCACCCAGGTTCTTACCTGATCTTTATTTCCTGATTTTTCAACTTCAGGTGCCGAACGAGGCACAGCTGCAGTTAAAAAAACAAGAAAAGAGGGCTGTTTCAAAGGCTGCTTCTTGGCATGCAGTGTGCCAATGATGATTAATAGGCGCGTGGCTCACAGCGGGCAGGGAAGCTCGTAAATCCCGAACCGATAGTTAACCCTGTCGTATCCCACCCCTGTGCCTGACCATACTTGTAAGTAAGAAGCAACAGGTGAAGCTAGGCAAAATCACATCAGATACCTGTACAATTAGCACAGATGTCCCAGGGCTATGTGCTTTCTCCATTACTCTTTTCTCTATATACCAAGGATTGTATCTCAAAGGATTCCTCTGTTAAAGTACTGAAGTTTGCAGATGATACAACAATGATTGCTCTACATTCAAGATGACAATAAATCTGCGTATAGATGGGAAGTTGAACAACTGGCCTATAGTGTAGCCAGAACTATCTTGAACTGGACACACTCAAAAGTATAGATATGATAATAGATTTTAGAAGAAGCCCTCATATTCTACCACCTCTTACAGTACTAGGCAACCCAATATCAACAGTAGATCTTGCAAGTCTGCAGAAAAAATAATTGCCATCAGCCTGACTTCCATTGAGGACTTATATACTGCATGAGCCAGAAAGAGGGCTGTGAAATATAGACCCCTCACATCCTGGACATAAACTGTTTCAACTTCTTCCTTCAAGATGATGCTATAGGGCATTGCATGCCAAAACCACAGACAAAAACATAGTTTCTTCCCCATGCTATTAAACAACTAATTAAACAACACTGTCATATGCTCTGGGATGTCAAATAACCTAATAGGGCTGTATTACTATTACTGTTATCCTTCTCATCCTTCCTATTATCTATTTCTTTAGCTTATTATTATAATTTTGTTGTTTGTATTTCACTATTTATGTTGTTTTTATTGGTATCCTATTATGTTTTATTGCTTGATTACCGTATTTAGTATCCTGTGACTATCACTGAGTGTTCTATCTTATGATTTATGATTGTTTTATGATTATGATTTATCGCTTGTCTCTTGCACGTAGTCTGAAAGCTTATGCATCAGAGACAAATTCCTTGTGTGTCCAATCACACTTGGCCAATAAAGAATTCTGTTCTGTTCTGTGCCATGCCATATCATGCCATGCCATGCC